AAGATCTGATGACAGAAAGGAGTCCAAATTCATTATTAAATACCTGATACGTTAGAAAATTGGTATTTAATAGGAATGATTGTATAACGGCTTATTTAATATCATTTATTACTCATAATTATATCATTAAACTGAGGCTTCATTCCTTTACCTAGAATTACCTATAAAAGGAAGAAGTATCATCATTTGTAAGGACACGGAATACTATTGGGAACTCATTGAAATACAAAACTATTTGCTGTTTTACCATCATTCTCAAAAGTATTTTATTTTCGTTTCCTGATTATCAGTAACCCGAATTTCTTTTTAGCTTTGACCAAAGACTCAAATTTTTGGTTAAACAATATGCATGACATATCAAATAACCGTGAATAGTTCATATAGAGAAGATATGCATGAATGAACTAGTCAAGTTATTTGAAAATTGCGTGCAAGATTATTACATCCATGACCATATCTACTAGGTGTTTGGTCAATTTATGTTGTTGTACTTTATGATAACAAACTTAAAAAACTATAAAATTCCAAATAAATACTCATTGGATCAGTAACATGGCACATACACTTCAGTCATGGATCATTAAGATCCAAAGATGACGCATTAGAAATCGGAGAGTAATTATAAAAATTACGGGGGGGCTCAACAATCTCAACACTTCAGTTTTAATATACATGTCAAGCAAATCAAAATTCATCATATACCGCATTGTTTCAGGCGCCCTCAATGTTTTTTGCAATGATTCACTATTCTCTATGGGAATTTCTGAATAATGAGCAACAACCTGAACAATAGAATATGGCCATCTATCGGAAATAATAAGCCTTAACTCATCGGTTAGCTTCCATTCGAATACGCAAGTTCCTAACTAACTAACCATACTCAACATCTAGCGAAAGTTTAACAATGACCCAAGCACCGCAGTTATATCTGGCTGTATCAGTGTCACATAACATTTTGCCGCCCCAGTAGAAGTAAACCCTTTCACGTTTCACTTATATAAAAAAATTACAGCAATTAATAAATAATAAAATACATTTGGCCATTAAATTAGAAAAACAAGAAAAATTACTAACCTTTTCGCTAATCTCGTATGTTGCTATCTTTTGATTAACTATATTCAAGAATAATATATATTATATTTTATGCACTTCGTGATGTAAAGCAATTGCACTGGTTATATAGAGCTTGAATGCCTAATACTCAAAAATAATAAGCGCGTGAAAATACCGCGCCTATGAGAAATACAATTGAAATCTCGCCACTAACACAGAGCTTTCATTGTATTTTAAAAGCTGCAATGTGCAGAATCTTGACATATCAATGATAAACCTAATGTGTGATCCAGAATCGCACCTTTAGTTGTTTTTCAAAGTAGACTAAAAGTATGATCCTTCATTGCGCCTTTGGTTATTTTTTTGAAAATATATTAAAGACGCAATGTTTAATAGCGTCTTTAGTGTGTCTAAAAATTAACGTTCAATCTGGAATTTGAAGGCAAATGACCCTTCATTTTGTCTCATTTCGAGAATCCCTTCAAATTATAGAGAAATCTAAATATAAGAAAAGAAATATCAAAAGCGTATACAACTGAAAATAATACTCATTTAAAGTTACAAAATTCTTTATCTATATTTGAATAGTATTAAAACATCATTTCTTCTGACATGGATAATAAATAAACCAAAATTCAAGTTATACTGTAAGGAATGATCCAACTACTATTAGAATTTTGAAAAGAAAAATAATGTTGGAAGAAAAAGTACAACCAGTACTATAGCCTGTTTGGCCAAGCTTCTCAAGACAAAAAAAATATTTTTTTTCCCAAAAACACTTTTTTCCCTAATTTGAGGTGTTTGGCCAAACTTATTTGGGGAAAAAAGTGCTTTTGGGAAGAAGCAGAAACAGTTTCAGAGAAACAGAAAAAAGTAGCTTCTTTCCAAAAGCAGAAGCAGAAGCAGTTTTGGCTTTTCTTCTTACCTAAAATACCCTTAACAAAATATAGTATATACCAAAATAACCCTTAAACCTAACACTTAGGATATTAATTTATAAATATTTCTTCTTATTTTTAGGAAACTTTCTAATATATAGTGTCTTTAGGGGTGAATGCTTTTATATTTGTTGAAGGAATTTTAATATATTTAACTTATATTAAAAAAGTTAAGTACTTTTTAATTTTATTTTCATATTTTACTTAAATAAAATAATTTTTTTTTAATTATTGCATATAATAACAAAATTTTGATATTATTTATTTACTTATAATATTAATTATTAAGTAAATCTATTCATGTCCTTATTCGTAATTTGACACTTAAAAGCACTTTCTAAAAAGCTTGACCAAACACAAATTATTTCTCAAAAGCGCTTAAGTATTTTTTTCAAAAGCACTTCTCAAAATAAGCTGATTTCTCCAGCTTGGCCAAACAGGCTATAAGAAGGGGTTATAAAATGATGAAAAGGGTTAATTATATTAAATAAAAAATTCACGTTTTACACGACTTATTGAGTAACTAAAAGAAACAAAAGAATTTTGAATCCTGAAATAAATAGAAAAAGAAAAACTTCTTCAGTTTTATAGTTTATACCATAACCTAGAAGCATTAAGATGAAGAAGAAGACTAAGATTCAATTTAGACCATACAAAAAAGAACTGTATATACTAACAATTTGCATTAAATTATTTTTCAGGTCAATAACTTTTGTGTACATCAGACAATTTACACTCATGATCGAATCTTAACTAAAGCTTAAACAAATTCTTAACCAACCATCTGGTACTTAATGGTTGCAATATCTTACACATTATTAAGCATGTTTAGGCTGAAGTTTTAGCAAAGGAACTAAAAAACTTCAGCTTGTTTAGACTGAAGTTTCGCATAAAACTCAGGACAAAACTGTAGACTGCATTACAAAACTTTAACATATTTTGGTATGAAGTTTTAGCAAATGAACTAAATAACTTCAGCATGCACTAGCAAAAACTCTTTAGAAAATTATATATTGCAAGGCAAAAACTTAAGCATGTTTAATCTGAAGTTTTAGCAAATGAACTAAATATATAACTTCAGCATGCATTAGCAAAAACTCATTAGAAAATTACATACTGCAAGACAAAAACTTAAACATGTTTAGTCTGGAGTTTTAGCAAATGAACTAAAAAACGTAAGCATGTTTAGCATGGAGTTTTAGCAAATGAACTAAAAAACTTAAGCATGTTTAGTCTGAAGTTTTAGCAAATGAACTAAAAAACCTAAGCATGTTTAGTCTGAAGTTTTAGCAAATGAACTAAATAACTTCAGCATGTTTAGACTGAAGTTTCAGATAAAACTCATAACAAAACTGTAGACTCCAGGATATATAACTTCAGCATGCATTCACATGAAGTTTTAGCTTCAACATGAAACAATTTCATGCAAGTGTGATTCTGAAGATGAATCTGGATAAGTTTCTAATTTTTTGATCAAGTTGCTGAGAGGAGAGGAGTAGATCTTTTTTCACGAATGAGGTTGCAGATCAAGCGATTAATGCGTGATGCAGGTTTTATATCTTTTGTCAGGAGTGTAATTGTCATATTATTACAGATTTTTTGTCAGCTCACTACCAAATCAATAATTTTTAAAAATATGGTACAAGTTAAAACGTGGCACAAATATAAGGTACGACTGCAAATCCCCAATTTAAAATAAATTTTGGGGCTTTCAAATTTTCAGGGCCTAAGGCAATGACCCTCATTAGGGTGGGCATATATCGGGTAAAATCGATAACCCGAACCGTTAATTATTTATTGGGTTATCGGTATTGGATTATTGGATTAACGGTTCGGTAACGGGTTAATTTTTTTTGTTTGGGTTATCTGTTCGGACTCGGTTTGGCAATTCTGTTATTGGGTAAAACCGATAACCCAATAAGGATTAACTAATTTACTAGTTTACCCTTAAGTAGATACATACTAGGGTTTCATAATTCATAGTTCACTCTTTGATTTCCTTATTCTTTCTCAGTTTCTCCGCCTCACGCCCTCACCAGTCAGTCTGTCAAGACTCAGGTCGGCGTCAGTCGCATTTCTCAGCTTCTTTCTTCCATTCTTCAGTCGCATCTTCACTTCATTTCTCAGATCCATCAGATTCTTTAGTGACATCTTCACTTCACTCTTCAGTCGCATTTCTCAGCCGCATTCTTCAGCTTCATCTTGATTCTTCGTGTAAGTTTTTAGTTGCTTCATCTTCATCTATTTCTTAGTTTGTTTGAAAGCATTCTGGCTCTGGATTTTACTTAGTTTGTTTGAAAGTTGAAGTGAGATTTGTCGTGTGCTTTAATTGTTGAGCTGTTACAAAGTTATCTTGTGTCAGTTGTTATAAAATTTGCATTTCATAACTAATAAACTTTTTAATCTATATACATAATTCTGTACTAGAGTAAAAAAGTAGATATCAATGTACAAAGAGTTACTGCTAGTCGTTTGAACAAAGAAGATCTTAAGAACACTGAATTTACCGAAACTGTTGTATACATTGTTAATCTTATAAAACTGTTTTAGCAAAACAGTTTTATACATTGCGAACAGTTTTATACATTGTGAAAATATTTTAGTTGTTTTATCTTATTGGGCAAATCGATAACCGAACCGATAATGATCGATAACCGATTAATCGATAACCGATAACCGATAACCGATAGGCAAAATCGATAAGCCTTTAGAGCCGCCCTTCATATAACGACTTCCTTACGAGTTGCATAATGTGACGGTTCATCGTGTTTTATTCCACGCCGTCGATGGCATTCTCATCTGCCTCATCAACGGCGGAGAACGGTGGATCACCCGTGAAACCAGAAAAGGCTCGTGCCGTGATAGAGCCCCAAACTCTGAAAATTCTTCAGACCCTTTGCACTTGCTGCCACACGGCTCTCGTTAACGAAGGGCCACGTCTTCCATTTTCTTGCACCCATTATTGCCCAAACAATTTCCAAATATTTACAACAAACTCAGCATCACAAAACCACAAAGGAACGGTCTTTTTCGTCATTTCCGTACTGATATGCTAGAAATATCTACTTTTCATTTCAAAGCTTCCTCACTTTTGAAAATTCCAACTCCATTATTCCTCCATCACTCATTTGAACAGTCCATAATCGGAAATGGCGGTAGTGGTCGGAAACATAGCACTATTACTCGACGGAACTCACGTGATCACCCCACGTGCTGCTGTCGTGTTACCAGATCGCAAAACAAAAGACGTTCTTTTGAACTTTTTTGTAAAGAAAGACCCATGTCAGAATCAAAGCATGTACACTTCTAGCGGGTTTGAAATTGAGAAAGATAGAGTAAATCTGAAAGTGGGTTTTAGAGGAAAAGTGAATTCGAAAGTGGGTTCTGTGGATTATGAGAATTTAAGTGATGATGAAAATGGAAATGGGTTTGAGGATGAAGGAGAAAGTGGAGAAGAGTTTGATTGGGAGAAAGAGATGAGGAGGAGAGTGAAGGAAATAGAAGAGATGAAGGAGTTGGAGAAGAAAGCTGAGGAGTTGCAGAATCGGGTCGATGAGGAGTTTGATGAGGAAGGTGAAAGTAGCGAAGAGACTGAGGAGGAGAAGCGGGAGAGAGTTCGAAGGGAGCTCGAAAAGGTCAGGCTTTGTTATAACAATCCATGTTTTATCATTCTGTCGTATTACTGTGTTTTTATATTGGTGATGTTTGGTGTAGTTTGTGCGCTCACGATTAATCGATTGAGTAGCTGCTACTTAACTTAGTCCATCTAGGTTTAGGCAGGCAAGAAGAGATCACCTAATGAACTAAAGGAACCTGAAAGTTTTATATATGTGTATCCATAAGCAGGGGCGGAAGCAGGATTGTATATGAAAAAAATGTTAACCTTATATATATAATGTAATTTTCGAGCGCCCTTCGCCCACCTAGCTCCGCCCATAAGATGCTTTCTCTCTTCATACCATGGTAACCTGTTTTACGTATTAGAATTTGGAGATGAATAGCTATTGAAGCAACCGATAAAAGGAGCAGTGTGGCCTTTTCTGATGTACTAGTGATAGTCTTATTCATCTTTCGTCTAGGTTTGACTAAGTGCTAATTTAATTTTGAAGCATGGTAGACAAGGGGCAAAAGAAGGGAAACTAAGGTGGGTGACATACGATTGCAAAATTGTATCTGGAATAGCAGAAATGAGAGAATTATTTCAGGATCATCTGTAGTGCCACATTTTGTAGTGCATCAGAGGCTATAACCTATTTTTAAGTAATTGGGAATGGTTTTCTAATTTGAGTAGGTATTTATTCGCAACCAAGCAACTCTGGGAGAGCTGAAATTTACTGAAAATTACTCTTAACAACTATTATTGCATATATATTTCACTTGCATGCTTCGTAAAATACTTACTGTTGTATGTGGTGAAGCTTTGTCGTGATGATGTTGATATGGGTGAAATTATCTTTTAAATGACTTGGTTAAAAATCGGGTTTGATGAAAAATTTCAGATCCTTTAAATTATCATTTTTTGTTTTGGTTTGAAATTTAGGTGGCAAAAGAGCAATCTGAACGCAGAAAAACTGCTCAATTAATGTTTGATTTGGGCCAGAAGGCTTATGGGAAGGGCATGTATGGACGTGCAATAGAATTCCTCGAGGGTGCTCTTACTATCATTCCTAGACCAACCTTGTTTGGTGGAGAGGTTAGTGGCGACCACTTCCCGAATAACCACACACAAGATGTGCTAATTTTTGTTCTAAGCCTAATTGCATTTACAAATTGAACTTTCAGATACAAATATGGCTTGCTATGGCTTATGAAGCTAATAACCGCCATGCTGACTGCATTGATTTGTATAAGCAATTAGAAAGGAAACATCCCAGTATCAGTATCCGACGTCAAGCTGCAGAGCTTCGCTATATATTGCAAGCACCTAAGCTGAAGATATCTCAAGAAGAAATGGTTACCATACCACTAATCGGTTCTAGCTATGATAGGTAAGTTCCAGTCATGCAATATTATATTGCATATGTTAGCTTATTAAGACAGTATCAATTACTTGCCTCTAAGCAGAGGGCGTGATATGCAAGTGCTTGGGGAAATCAATATGGTTCGCTAGTGTTGCATTTGTTTTAATATGATAATGACTTAAGCATAATGTTACTAGCTAGCATCAATATAATTGTGACAATAATGTAATTAAAATAGTTTATGTTCTTTTGCATGCTACTTTTAGCATCCATGGATTATTGGAAAATATGAAAATGCCTCCAAGATATGTACGGGTTAAAGCATAGAAGTAGCAGAGCAGTTGAACAATTGAAGTTTTTTAATGTGCTATTCTGCCATGCACCCTCTCTCCTCCCTCTTTTGCCGATAAATGTAATTTTTTTGCGGCAGTGGATAGCAAGGGTCAGGTTTGGAATGTGACTTCAGATGATTAACAAGAACTTTTTCTTGTGTTGACGCTTTGGATGAATGAATTATTTAGGGGTTGTATTCTCCTTCTTCCTTTCCTTCTCTCGTTCTTTCTTTCTTTTTTCATTTCTCATTTTGAAAGTATTTTGTTTCATGGTTGAGGGTGCCTTTTCCTGGTCGGACCTTTGGAATCTCTTCTTTCTTCTCAAATGAATGAGGGTACCTTTTAATATGAAGTAGATTTTCAGCTCCTAATGTGCCAGTTTTTAAGGGGTATGATCAGATATGAGACCTTTCTAAGAAACTGAAGCTTGTTGATGCTTGGATAATCTGACTAGTTGTATTGTAGACAAACCTACTGAAGTTAGAAATTGATTGAATGAAACATATTAGACTCATTTACCCATGCAAGAAGCTTAGCAGTAACTGAATGACAACATTTGAATAGTATGCGGCTATGCGATGCCACGATCTGGTGTAAATGTATCAGCAGTTGTAACACATTAGTATGGAGTTCTGAGCATATTGGTTTAACATATACAATTGATGAATAGGTGGGTAACATTGTTTTCTTCTTTTTACTAAATATTAGGCTGTTGACTCATTTTCGCTACTTTTGGTACAATTCCTTATTCATGATAACTTTCGTATGAAGTAATTCTTTTAAGAATCATGCTTCCTGTGGGTGACTGATTCCAAGAATCGTTGAAGATCAGTGCGGAATTCCCTTCATTTTTTCCTGTTCTTCTTTGGTGCAGTTATGCTGGAACATGGACTGACAAAAACAAGGACAAAGATGAAAGACAAAGTCGGTCAACAACAATTCAGCTTCCATCAAGCAGGGACTGGTTGGGGGACTTTATGGTGTGGAAACCAGCAGTTGGTATGGAGAATAGCCAATCATTCTGGGCAATTTTAACAATATGGATAGCTTTGGTTGGAGCTGCACTCTTTTTGCAAAAGTGAAGTTTATACAAGTAAAATGTTTATTGTCTAGCTTTCTATTCTTTATTGGTATAGGCTGATGTGTATTGCCATTTTTATGCCTGTTGTATATTACCATNTCATATACAAGTAAAGCTGTTTATTGTCTAGCTTTCTATTCTTTATTGGTATATATAGTCTGATGTGTATTGCCATTCTAGTGCCTGTTGTATATTACCATCTTTAATATGATTATTAGCAAATATCGATTCTGCCATGCACTAGACTTCGCATTTATCATCTGTTTGCATGTTTGATGGTTTTTATTTCTCCTCCCTACAGTCTGGCAGGGTTAAAAGCGAAAAAAGCCCTCTTTTTTCGCCAAACATTAGATTCCTCTGTGTGAATATTGAAAGAATTGACATAAATGCAAACTATTATACTTTGTTCTCTATAATCATTTGTGGCATTCAGATTAAACAGGCAGTATAATTTCAATTTGGCCTGCACTCAGCTAACAAGGTTTTCACCATTTTCTTTGGCCTCCGAGTCTCCTCCCCATTGTTTTATTCTGTCTCTGGCAAGGGAAGCCTGTACCAGATAACCGAAGTGAAAATAGTCAACGTCTTTTAAATATGAGATTAGTTCTATGCATTAATGGGATAACAAATATATACACTATTGGGTTACTGTTAAGGTAATTATACGTAAATAAACTTTGATAAAAAAACATGATATAAATGATAACTAACTTCTATCATGGGTTAAACTATAATGATAATATAAAAATCTTCATATTGTCCATATATATAACTTGAAAAAACAAGAGTTTGATTCTTGATGTGTGCCTTACCTCCTTGTTCCAATTAGTTCGAAGGACCATCATGATCAAGACACCAGTTTGAAGAGTCATACCTGCTAGCATCCCATACCAGATTCCCTGAGAATTTCATGCACAACATTTGTAAATAATAAGAATCTTGGAGCTGATGTTCCTATGGGAATTGATTCTGAATGGTATTAACAATTTATTTGCAAGTGAGATAAAGGAACTCATACCTTAACGCCAATGTCAAGGAGGAAGCCAAGTATGAGACCTATGGGAATACCAAACAAATAGTAGCAAGCTATGTTCACATATGCGACGTATGCTTGCCACCCTGCTCCTATGGCCACCCCTGCAATTACAGGAAATCTACCAAGTCACCAACCTTCACGCTTAGACCATCTAACAATTGTATATACATGTGGTAGTCTACTTGAGTTTTGCGTAAAAGAGTTCTCTTTACAAATATTAATTTGATGACTTTGGCGCGATATATTAAAAGTTAGGTGACCATGAAATTATCCCAAATCTTCTATATTCCGTCCGCTTTATCAGCCAATAAAATAATTGTGCAAAAAAGATCAAAGAGAAGATTGAAAGAGAAGGTAAGTTGAGTACCTGAAAGAGTAGGTTGAAGACTGCTAACAATAATGGTGACTGCTAACATAGGTGTGAGCTCATATACAACCTGCTGGACTTCCGCACTATTTGAAAACAATGGAGGATACCAACTCCGAGAAAAAAGTAGAACCAATGAGAGGAAGACGCCGGCTAAAAGCGAAGTGATGGAGGCTATTATTACTGAAAATTTTGCAGTTCTTGGATGCCCTGCTCCTAGTTCATTTGACACTCTCACGCTGCATCAAAGTGATAACAATTTTAAGGGTGTTGCTTGCTCTAATAACAACTTGTGATTAAGTGACGGTCATTAGAATGAAAATGGGATAATATACATACATAAATATATACGTATACACACACACACCTTATTGCAGCATTGAATCCAAGTGCCACCATGAACATCCAGCCTTCTATATTCATGCTGCAATATTTGAAATAACATCAACTTAACCAAAAAAAAGAAAAAAAGAAAACAACTTGATTGCCCATATATGTGCATGGTAGTCATTATTGACATCAGGATTTTAATAAGCAATATTGATCTATTTGTCAAATTGTTGTATTAGCGCAAATGTGAAACCCTAATTGAGAGCGAAGTTCATGACCAACAAAGAGAACGGAAGAAAATTAGAAAGCTGAATTGCTTTTACTATATGCATCAGCTTTACACACACAATTAGTTAACTAGTTAATTAGGTAATGATATCTACTAACTAACTATTTGTTAAATAGGTCAAAAAGTAATTGCAGCCACGACTTCTTTCTCAAGTCACTCCTTCCTTAAACACTTCCGATCAAGCTACGTGGTGCAAACACATAAAGCATACCAATCTTGGAACTCAAGCATTCATGTTGTATCTTGCCAAGTTCCTTTGTCAACTGATCTGCTAGTTGATCCCTGGTATTGATATATTCAGTCTTCACCATGCCTTTCAGAATTTTCTCCCTAATGAAATAAATTAAATTTGCAGCTATCTGTATAAATACCTTACTGTCGATATGGATATTTACTGGTAGTTTTACCTCAATCCCAACTTCCTTTATTAATTTCAAAAACCAAGTTAGCTCTGCAACTGTAGAGACAAGGCTTTTGCAGAGCTTCTAGACAGTATGGTCTACTTCTTTGGCTTCTAAGAAATCAAAGAATCTCCTGGTTTGATAAAGAATCCCGTAATTGTCTTCATAGAGTGTGGGCAAGCTACTCAGTCAACATAACAACATGTTGTCACAGTTCTATTATTGCAGCTAACAACAACACTCCTCGTTCTGGTCTTTGTTTTACATATGTTACCACCCTTAAGGCAACATCCATGTGAGACTTCTTATGTTGCTGTAGGCTTTGGTTAAGAATTACAGACTGAATGCTATGTTAGGGCTGGTTATTGTCAAATATAGTAACTTCCAAATTAATCTCTGATACATTCCTATCAGACACAACTCATCTCTGGTGCCACTTGATGCTCCTATCATAAAACTCCTTAGTAGTTAGGTTGGTATTGACTTCAAGTGGAGTACCGATTGGTTTAGATGCTCCCAGTCTCAAATCAGATATCAACTCTAAGGCATATTTTCTGTGATGCATCAGCAATCTATCTTTACTCCTTGCAAACTCTATCCCAAGAAAGTACTTTAGCTCTCCTAAGTCCTTCATCTTAAAGGTTTATTGGAAGGTTAGCTTTGTACTCTTTATAAGTTCCAAACTGTTACCTGTAATCAGAATATCATTTATACATACAAAGACTTTGTCAGTCTTCTTCACAAACAGGGAATGGTCATGTTGACTGAAACCAAAGCACAAAAGAGCTTCTGAAAGCTTAGTATTCCATTTCCTAGGGGCCTGCTTGAGTCAATACAAGGATTTTATGAATCTGCATACTCTTCTCTCCCCCTGACTCTGAGTCAAATTCATATCGATTTGATCAAACAAGTCATCTTGTAAGAATACATTGTATATATCCATCTAATGGATAATGTCAATACTGTGCAGCTGCAATAGATAAGATGGTCCGAACTGTGACCATTTTCACAACAGATGAAAAAGTCTTCTAGTAGTCAATCCCTTCTCATTGAATATATCCCTTTTGCCACTAGTCTTGCTTTGAACTTCTCCACCTCACATGTGGCCTTGTATCTTACTTCAAATACCCACTTGTAGCCAATTGCAGTTTACCATGATGCTAAAGGAATTACATACTAGGTATGATTGCTTTCTAAGGCAGCAATCTCATACTGCATAGCCTTAATCCACCTCGAGTCCTTGATAGCTTCAGCATAGGATGATGGCTCCACAACCAAAGACAGTCGTTATGTAAGCCTGATATGATAGTGACAAGGTCTCATAAGACCGTGAGATAAATTATAAGGAACATCCTGATGAACTGGTAAAGTTACAAGGTCCTCCATCCATAATTGATGATTTGTCTTTCTAGAATTTGCCCTCAAAAGAGCCTCAGAAGGAAGCACAGGATGTTGAGGCACAAGAAGTTGAATAGAGTGAGGAAGTTTTGGCTCATCAACATAAACTTTTGGCACATCATCATAACATCAGCATCAACCGCTACACTCTCATCAACCTCAGTTCCAGTTAGGGGTGGCAATTTGAGCCCAAACCCCTCCAACCCGCCCGGATATTAATGGGTTGAGCTACAAATATTTTAGCTCATGGGTCTATTTGGGCTGAGCCCAACTTAACCCATTATTTTTTTATAGCCTATTCAGACCCATAAAGTAGCCCAAATACAACCCATGAAGCTCACCCAAAACAAAGGGATCTTGAAATTTACTTAGTTGCCCCAATTTTATTTATTTATTTATTTTAATTTTCTATTTTTTCGTTTTTCTGCACCACCCACCCACCCTAACCCCTCTTAAAAAGTTTTTATTACTTTTTTTTTTGTATTTTCAATTTTCTATTTTTTCGATTTTCTACACCCCCCTCCCGCAAACCCCCTCACTTTTTTTTTTCGTTTTTTGTGTTTTCAATTTTTTGTTTTTTCATTTTTTTCCTTTTTTTGTTGGGCAGCTGACGATTTGTTTATCGCGGTCGCAGAGAGGTTTCGCATTCGCTTAAGGTGGTGGAGCTGGCTATCACCTTTGCGCTTGTTAGTTCGCGATTGCAGTGTGATGCTGGAGGCAGGTTGGATCGTGGCTTCCGTGTTCGCAATAGAGGCTCGCGTTCGCGCTTCTATGGTTCGTTGGCTTCCGCATTCGCGCTTCTGTGGTTCGTTGGCTTCCGCGATCGTAGGACTCAGAGCGACCACGTAGTGCATTCTCCTGGGCAGTGTTACCTTATGCTTCAGGATCGCATAGTGTATAACTGGGTTGTATTACAAGACATTATTTTCGGGACATTGAGCTTATTTTATAACATTGTGCGATTGTGAGCTCGGATTGAGGCGATTTTCACCACTTGGATTGGGAAAAGTATTTTTGACTCGGATTTGATTATATTCATGAATCCATCCTTAATTTTAGCATTTGATTGGTGGATCTAAAAGAAAAATTTGGAGTTTTTGGTAAAACTTTTCTAAAGTGAAAATTGAGATTTGAACATTAATTTAGAGTCGGATTTGGATGAAATTTGTGGGGTTGAACTCGTATTCGAGTGGGTATTTGGAATTTGTGCATTTTGTCGGTTTCGGGTTGTGGGGCCGATTGACTTTTTTGTTGGCATTGAGTATTTGATTAAAGATTCAACCTTTATCGTTTGAGTTTGATTCCTATGACATTATTTGATGTTAGTGAGTTGCTTTTGGCTAGATTCGAGCTGTTTGTAGGTCGATTCGCACGAGGAGGCGTTCTTAGAGTATTGATTTAGCTTGTTTGAGGTAAGTGTCTTGCCTAACTTTGGTTGAGGAATTTTTTTCTTATAATTGGTATTGTTTGCTACATATAGGAATGGTGTATATATGAGGTGATGAGCGTATATACATGTTCCATAGGTATTCATGCTCCGGGAAGATTCTAGCTTACTCCATGCTTTGTTTGGTTGTGTGTCTACTTGATTCTATGTATTATTCAATTAATTGACTACGTGAGCACAATAAACCATGCTAGAGAAATGTTGAGACTATTGGTACCTTATTTTGAACACGTTGAGTAAATCTTGAGACTTATGCTATACTTGCCTCGGAGGTAGATGCATGTATGTTATGAACACACATATGTACTTGTTCTTGTATTATGCTTTGATTATGACATGTACATTCTGTGATACATATATACTCTTTTGTATGACTACTTGAACTTGGTTGCAGTAATTGATTTAGTCGTAGTCATACCTTATCCGCATTTTTATTGTTATCATGTCCTTGTTCGCTTTATTGATGAGTTACGAGAATGTGCCTCTTGCTGATAATTTGTGATCTTGCATTGTTGTGATTATTGTACTTGTGGACATGTTGAACAAATTGATTGTGATGATATTGTGGCATGAGGTCTTTGCCATGCAATTGTGATTGGGGGTGTCAGCACGAGGTCTTTTCCGTACGGTTGTATCTATTGTTGTGCGTGTAGGGCGAAATAAGGGTAGTGTTTTGCTTGGGTTGTCCACGTGGCGAAATAAGGTGGCGATATGCACATGTGGCAAAATAAATATAGTCTTTATTGATATTGCACATTCGGTGAAAAAAGGGTGGCATTGTGGGGAAGTTATGTGATTGCTTGGGGACGATTTTATTGTTTATACTTATGTGGTGGTACGAGAGTAACATTCTTGAATGTGCATGCGCCTTCTTTACGTGTGTCATGCATTTTTACATATTTTGTTGTATTGCATTTAACATGCTAATCTGTTCCTATGTTATTTCTTGATAATTTGGTTTTCAAGATGAATTAACCTACATAGAGTTGATATCTCATATTTTGTTGAGTTATTGGTAGCATATCAGATTGACGTGATAAGGAAGTTGTCATCATGCATTGATATATTTGATTTTTGAAAGGTTCTCTAGCACATGTTATTTGGTATTTGATACTAAATCGGATCATGTTGGGCCTAGATTTAATAGATGTGTATGGGTATTGTGCATAGATATCATATCGTGCATACCTCTTGTGAGCGAGGTTGGTGCAAGTTATAATTGTTGAACATGTCTAATTGGTAGTGTTTGTTAATTACCCTATCTGCTTGTGCACCTTTACTATTGATGTTCTTTATTTTGTAATTTCCCGTCTAGAATATTATCTTTGTATTATACATGTTATTAAGTTGCACACGTTATCTTTTGACTTAAAAATCTTGTCACTACTTCTCTGAGGTTAGTCAAGATACTTATTGAGTACATGAGGTCGGTTGTACTCATACTACACTTTTGCAACCTTGCGTGCAAATTCTAGAGCTGAGTAGCTGCGGAAGACGAAGCCTTTCATTTGAGACGTACCAACGTTCCAGATTCAAGCTACCTTTTGTTTCGGGGTGTACAAACCGAACCGAAAAACCGCACCAAACCGAAATATCTAGAAATGTTTGGGATTCTCTTATGGGATGTAATATTTAATAGAATATGAAATGCTTAATTTTTATTAACTTTAAACAATGTGTTGTATGATCGCTTTCTTATCAAGTGTTATTGAAATGTGTCAATCACTTTTTTTCCATATTTATTATATTCTTATATCTTTTTCAAATTTGAAGTGGTGTTTTTAAAAATTAAATAGAACATATCATTATTTAGGTATCATATTGGTTTTTATGTTTAATTATTAAATTTGGTTAACTTTGAAAGTGTACATCAATGAAAATTTATTGTCAGACAACTATAAAAATAACTATCATGCTTTGTCAATTTTTCAATTTTTATTAAACATATATTTACTCATAAAAAATTTTAAAAAGTAATATTGACATATACTTCATGTAACAAAAAAACTCGAAAAACCCGACAAAACTGAACCAATCCATACCGATATAAATGGTTCGGTTTGGTTTTAATAAAAATCAAACCAACCCGGTCCATGTACACCCCTACTTTTGTTCATGGTAGTTTAGGATTTTATTTCTGTTTATGTAAATGCTAGACATATATTGTATTTATTTCTCTCATTAGTTTTGTAAATTTAAATTATAGTGGCTCATGACTTGTACTACCAGTACTTGGGTTAGTATCGAATTATTTGCAGTTTTATTCATAATATTGATGATTTCTTATTATAGTAGTAACTTATACTGTTTAAGCTTACCTAATGGGTTAGATTAGGTATCGTCACGACTTGGTGGGGTTTTGGATCGTGACAGAGCCATCAGCAGAATCTGACACCTAGCTTGGAAATAAGATTGATTGAACCCCATCAGAAACTAAAACAACTTCTAGCTAGGCATACGTACTAAGTATTCTCTTATTTCACACAATCGCAACCAAGATAAGGTACTAGAGTCTCATACTCATCCCAAAGGTCCTTAAGCCTTGAGTGGTAAACGGAGACATATGATGTACCTTGAGTAAGAGTGGCGATCTCTTTGTGCAAATAGAAAGACCTGGAGGCATCAACTTTGTCAAAGCATTCACGAAGATCTGTCCAGACCACAAAAATATCATATCCATAGATAACTCCAGTAATTAGTTCCTTAGGCACACAGTTCATCAACCACACAAGGACAATAACATTGTAATGCTCCCAATGGTATCTAGCTTGTTGCTTCCTATGAGTGCGATCTTCATCGAGCCACTCCAAAGAGAATAATTCTCTGTTCCAATCAATTGAACTGAGATCGGAAGAGATCCACTCGCATCAGAAGCATGCAAGTAAAGTGGATGATTGTGACAGAGTTTAACCTCGAATTTATCGTCTTCATTGCGTCCGACATTGTTTCCCACTGCGAGCAATTGACTACGCAAAACGAAGAAAGAAGGAACCATACAAACACAACAGAGATCGAGAAGCAAAACCTTTTGATCAGAGCTAGAATCTCTAGCCCAAAGGCTCTGATACCATGTTAAATTATTGTATTGAGAGCAATTGTGGAACCCTAATTGAGAGCAAAGTTTAGGACCAAGAAAGAAAAATGGAGAAAATGAGAAAACTGAATTGTTTCCAGTATACGCAACTGCTTTATATACACAATTAGCTAACTAGTTACACAACAATCTCTACTAACTATCTGTTAAATAGACCAAAAAACCCTTGTAGCCACCTGCCTCCTTCTCGAATCACTCCTTTAACAATGTTATAACAATTCAGCTTGTAGTAAATTTAGAATTATATTATAAAGGTTTTAAGACTTCACATTTTGTCCTAAATAAATACTACATTTTAGTTTTGTATATATTTTTAATTGGTGTTTGATTATGGTACATATGCATATCCTCGTTAAGATCATATATATAGTTAAAAACTTCTTTCTCAAAGTGACACAAAATATGAGCATAGTTAAGGGGATTTAACAAAACTAGTCTTACCATACGCGCATTGCGCGTGTTCTTCGTGTTAATGAAAATAAATTTTTAAATATAATATAAAAAAATTCAAAAGATGTATTTACATTATAATATAAAAATTAATAAAAATTTGCATGTTTCAAAGTGATAGATATTAATCATATTTAAGAGTTTGATCCACTCTATTCTATCCATACGTTTGTAATCATATAGGCATCCAAACTCAATTATTATTAACAGTTCTTGTAAATTATTAGCTCGATTGTTATTTTATACTACCCATAATTTCTTTCTAAAGTACTTCTTTTATTCGAGACAATTACATATATGCTTCATTTTCCTATTCTTTTTCCTTTGTACGAAATATTAATCATTCTTTTATCGTTTATAACTGATTTTACATTAAAAAAAGACTATAATTTGATTATTTTTCAATATTTAAACAATAAAAGTGGACAAAGAATTTGAGCATGTTCAAAGAAAAAAGAACGTCCTAATTGCTCTTTAAAATCTAAATCCATGCCTCCATGTTATCAAATATGAATTATCGTTAATGCTTTCATATTTTATTAATCAAAATTATATTTATTTATGCACTTTTTTTTAATGTTCCCTTTTAACTATTAGCATAAAATTGTAGGATCAGTTATTTACTCTATGATTATATCTAATAGTACTATTTATTGGAATGTAAAATTATTTTTGTAATACAAAAATATTGCAGGAATAATATTGATTGAAGAGTAAAATGATCTTTGGAATTTTCATGGACATTTAGATCTATCAACTGATTCTTATAATCTTCTTACTTTGTATAATAGTAATTAAATAAATAGTGAATAAATTTCTTATTTTATCTTTTTTAAATAGTTCTTTTTTCACCATTTTCTCTAGATAGGTTGATTAGTATTCTTCTCATAAATCTCTCTTATATGACAAAGCCTTCAATTATTTATGTTGATGAGTTGGTGCTTTCTCTGTACGAGAAGTTAGAATTTCAGTTGGTGCCCTGATTCAATTGGAAAAGTGAAATTGTTTGTAAAATTGATAATTAACAAATTTATCAAATATAATATTATTTATTTAATATAATATTCTAATTCCTAAGGATATAGAAGAAAAAAAAAGGCAAAAAAAAAAAAAAAGCAGAAAAGAGAAGGTGTGTAGGACAACTAAAATACTGCCGAATATAAATGTTGTGAAAAGTGCAATTAAATTTAATGTTATAATATTTTACATAATTCAAATAAGGGAAGATTTAATAATTAAAATTCTAGTTAATTTCAAACTCCTATATATTAGGAAAATAATTTAAATGACTATTTTGTCTAGTGTAAAGTCTATTTTTAAGGGGTAAAAAAGACGAACGACATTTCATTAAGGATTCTTTTAGTATAGTATAGATTAAGCCTAGTTACTTTCAACTTTTAACGCATTATTAAAATGAAAGCTATTAATTCCAAAGATTTTCTCTTCCAGCTCTCCGTCCCCCATTATTCACGGATTGATATCTATTAATAAAATATATAAAGAAAATTATTAGTTGTACTTTCCGTGCGAACAATACGGTTGAGGCTAATAAACGCCAAGTTGACGCTAAACTTGGAAAATTCCTTAGTCAACTGGTATCGCTACTTATTAGTATGCTAAATAAATTAATTCAACAGGAAAATTTCGTATTAGCTTTTGGTCCACAGTACGAAAGAGTAGGTCATTTTCAAATAAGGATTCGTGTCAAATTAAATAAAACTATGTCAATATCTCATAGAAAATTGTGAACTCACCAAATAGAAATTGCATCCACAGCTACTTCAGCATTCTTGAGGTATCCAGCAACGAGAATTAGTGCCATAAAGTACCACATCTCTAAGCTGCAATAAATCTTGAAATACCCTTTGTTACCATACTATTAGCCGGTTAGACTTGGAATATATACATATATAATCCTATGTGCTAGTTACGAGGGTATCTAGAAACCCTAAATAGGTCTTACTCAGATGATCAACACTCTGCCCAAATGGTGCCGAGATTCCAGAAGCTTTTGTCACAGTTGGCTACACAGCGTTATTATATTCTTTTATTTTTCAATCAATGCAGTAGCTAGCTCGCCTCATTTATTGCCGTTGAATAGCGAAATTGTGGGATCTAAGTTTCTTTATATTATGACGTACAACAGAACATGGGCGTAATTAAAGTCCTCTCAGTCATTTCCTTTTCTTGTTTGAAGGAGAGGAGGATGAACGGTGTTTAGTCTTTCGAATATTAAAACAAAGATAGGTCAACAAGAAATGATCACGTCTAGTTATTACGGCCGAGACTTATAAAGATGAAATTGTTGATAACATCATACGAGTATAAGACAGCTTTTATACATGAAACTTACGTCTTACGTTTCATAATTCTTAAAATTATCGTCAACCTAAATTCCTTTAAATAAATAGTTTGGATAGTGATGGATCTACTAGTAAAAGCTTCAAAACTTGGATGATCAAAATTATAACTTACATGTGTGACCTATGTAATTTTATTTTATTTGTGTATATGTTTGTTCTTCAACTAACTTCTAACCAACTTTCGGAAGTAATTAATTAAGTCCTTTTTGGGTCTTTCCTATTGGATAAGGACCATCAATATATATCATAACGTAATATTATAAGTAAAATGGTTCTAAGTATTCTTTTCTGGGGTTGAAAATGGTTTGAAGTATGAAATCATGAATGCATTGCGTTTACTAATAAAAGCTGAATAATCTAACTAGACCACAAGAGTTATAACTTAATCTATTATTGAAGATCACATGCCTTATTTTATTCGTTGCAGGTATTATGAATATACAATTACCTTTTAAATAATCTTATAATGTAAAAAAATCTTGTATGTTATGTATGTGCATATAAATTAAACTTATAATCTAAACGACTTCAATCAAGAAACTCACCAGAGCATGACAGCCGATGCAAAAGATAATTTAACAAAATCCCAAAGATTTTGAAAAGCCTTTAAAGAAAATCCAGACCAAGCTTGTCCACAAGTCCCACTTAAAATATACACCAGCTGAGCCACCACTATGAACCACCACGAACCATTCAGCACCACCGCACCACCCACCAGTCCCCACCCTAGCTTGAGCATCAACAGCCAACTGAACAATGTGTGTCCGATTAGACCAACTGCCGCTATGGCCGCCATCACCATGATCTTGCTTTGAGCTTGCAAGAATTTTTGTATCGGAAAGTTCAGTGCATAGGCGAACAACTGTGGAATCATCCACACAGCAAACATACCTGTAAATCGGCGAATTCAAGATTTAGAGTTAATGAATTCAGAAGAAGTAAGATATTGAGTATCTTAGTATGTATATAATTTCCTTTTTTTTTTTTTTTTTTTGCATACGCATATATAAAAAATGAGTTATTCTAACTGCTTCTGTATACCTGCCCATTTCGATATATCTGGCGTTTGACCGATGAATTTGAGAAGTGGGGTGGCGAAAATGTAAGGAAATATTAGAACCAGGGCTGTGGTAGTGAGGATTACCCATGATCGTTGCATGTAAGTTCCTAGCATTTCAAGTTGTTTTGCTCCAAATGCTTGTCCACATAGTGTCTCCAATGCACTTCCCATGCCCAACTGTGATCACAATAAACCTCGTTAACACCAAAAAAGAATCGAGAATTTCCTAAGTCAGTCACCCAGTCAGAATGAGCGTGATTTTATTATGTCTATACATTATATGTATATATGGTTCGAGCCAAAATCTACAATGTTCATCCTAAAATTCATCTAGCTCTAATTAACCATACTTATTAATCCCTCCTAAAATGATACTATAGACAAAAATCAAATTCAATCTACTTTCATACCTAAATCGACTATGGATTATGGTATGATGAAAATAAATTTGTAAATCAAGTAGTAGGAGTAACATATTTGCAGAGCTATGTATTTTAAAACAATAATATATTTTAAAGTCATGTATAGGGTAGAGATGCATCATACCATGACACCAAAAGCAAAACCAGCAATGACAGAGTTTTCGATGGAGACGGCCGCTAGTTGAATGGTACCAACATGACCAGCAAATACTTGAGTTACGGCACCGATGGAATATTGGCAAACAGAAGTGAAAATGGCTGGAGCAGCAAGGTACCATAGTTTCTTGGACTCCACAGAAAACTCTCGGATTAAATCTTTCACTCCACGGATTTGTTGGATATCATCTTCGTCAGCTTTGAATGATGAATTAGTAAAAGGCCAATTTGATGGTTTCAGTATTGGGTTGTGCAACTCATCATCTTCATTGTAATTTCCTATTGGTGTCAGAAGTGGCACCTCTGTATCCTTGGCCATGGTTGCCATTATTGGGTGGAAAGGGCTAGTATTTAAATTATTTGTTCACTCTTGGTTGTTAGAAGTGGGGCAGCCGAGCTTTAAATAGAATGACATAGCTAGTAGTATTTGATTAATTTGTTCATTTTTGTCATCATCAAATAGTCTTTTTTTTTATACTTAGAAAAGACTTATAAACTACTTACTCTAGAGCTGTGCATAATTTGATAAATAGCGAATTATCATACCGAAATAAAAAAATTTGGTATTTGGTATTCGGTATGGCATTTAGTTTAATTTTAAAAAAGAATTGGTATTAGGTATGGTATTTTGTATTTTAAAATAAAATACCGAAATATTGATACCGTACCGAAATATATATTATATTGCACAATACACGTATATTTGATTATAACATAAATATAAAAAAATCTAAAATTTTACTTTCCTTTATTTTCTAAGTTCATCAATTAACTCTAAGTAAATAACAAGACATTTCTAATGATCAAATTTATTCCTTTATCTATAGTTTTCTCCCTTTGGGTTGATATTTGCTGGTTTTGGACAAAACTTTTGTCAACAAACGTTTTTAGTTTTGTACTTTTGAGTACTTTAATAAAGAATATTACAGTTATGACTCTACGCAGTAGTTAGTATTCAAACCGAATAAACCAAAGTTACCGAACCGAATAAATCGAAATCGAAAAGAGAAAAATCGAACCATACCGAATTTAATTAGGTACAGTATTGGTAGAGCATTTTAAGAAATTGAATATCGAAAATACCAAATCGAAATGTCTAATTACAGTATCGTACTGACCGAAGAACACCCCTAACTTACTCCCTCCGTTTCAATTTAGATGAGATAGTTTGACTTGACACAAAATTTAAGAAAGAAAAGAAGACTTTTGAAACATGTGGTCCTAAAAACTTAAGGGGTAAAAGCTTTGTGGGGCCATAATATTTGTGTGGGGTATAAAAGCATCTCATTAATGGTAAAGTGAGTAAAATAAAATGTTCAAATTAATTATTTCTAACTATAGAAATATGTCATTCTTTTTGAAACGGACTAATAAGGAAAGTGTGTCATTTAAATTGAAACGAAGGTAGTATAATTTTTAAAGATGACCAATGTATAGGTGGCGTGGACGGTATATATAGATGGTTAATGGGGCCTTTCACTAACATGAATGTGACGACCCGACCGGTCGCCTTAAGAATTTATGCCCCGATCTCCTATTAACTGCTTTTTCCAAGTTTATTTATGCTATTTTGATTTGCCGGGATGTTCGGTTTCGAGTTTCGGAGGGTTTTGGGACACTTAGTCTCTAAATGAGAGCTTAAGTGTTGGAAAGTTGACCGTAGTCATAACATTGTGAAGACGGCCTCGGAATGGAAATATGATGATTTCGTTAGCTCCGTTGGGTGATTTCAGATTTAGGAGCGTGTTCGAATTGTGTTTTGGAGGTCAGTAGCTAATTTTGCCTTAAAATGCCGAAAGTTGAATTTTTGAAATTTCCGGTCCAATAGTGAGATTTTGATCTGAGGGTCGGAATGAAATTTCGGAAGTTGGAGAAGCTCCATAGTGTTGAATGTGACGTGTGTGCAAAATTTCAGGTCATTCGGACGAGGTTTGATAGACTTTTTGATCGAAAGAGTATTTTGAGAATTTTGGAGTTCTTAGACTTAAATCCATGGTTAATTTGAAGTTTCGATGTTGTTTTAGGTGTTTTAAGGATTGGTACAAGTTTGGATAGTAGTTTGTGACTTGTTGGTGCCTTTGGTTGAGGTCCCGGGGGCCTCAGGATGAATTCGGATGGTTGACGGAAGGATTTGGAGTTAAAGTTTGCTGCAGCAGCTGGTTTACTGTCATAACCGCACCTGCGATTTGGGTCCCGCAGGTGCGGAGCCGTAGAAGTGGAGGAGCAAGCACATATGCGGATTTGGGGAGGATCAGCAGGTTCCGCAGATGCGGGTAATTCACTGTAGAAGCTGTACCCCACCCGCGGAAGGGTAACCGCAGATGCAAAAATTGGCCTTTGAGTGAAAGTCGCAGATGCGACGAAGTCCTTGCAGAAGCGGGACCGCAGAAGCGGCCCCAAAGCTGCAAATGCGGAAATCGCAGGGCAGAACATATAAATTTTTGCCTTCGCGAAATTTAGCCATTTTTCATCCTTTTCAAAACGGGAAGAAGCTTGGGGAGCACTTTTCAAGAGGGATTTTCAGAGGAGTTCATTGGGGTAAAGTCTTTGGTCCCTAAACTCGTTATTGGAATGAGTTTTATCAATTTAAGCATGAAAGATTAAGGAAAATCAGTGGTAATTGGGGGGTAAGGGCTTGTCTAATTGGAGACTTTTGAGTGATGATTTGAGTGACAAATTGAGGTCAGATTTTGATACTTTTGATATGACTGAACTCGTGAAAGTGCTAGGGTTCTGGAAATATAAATTTTACACGATTCCGAGACGTGGACCCAAGGGGCATTTTGGTCATTTTACCTAATTTCACGTATTAGCTTAGAATTTCTTTGTAGAATCAGTTACTTGAAGTATTATTTACATTATGCAATTGAATTGAATAGATTTGGGCCATTTGGAGTCGAATACTCATGGCAAGATCCTAGTTTCGGATTGATTATTGAGCCAGTTCGAGGTAAGTGACTTGTTTAACCTTGTATGGGGGACCTTCCCCTTAGGATTGGTATATTTGGTAATTGAAATGCCTTGTACGTGAGGTGACGAGTGCGTGTTTGTGCTAATTGTTGGAAATCCGATTTTCTTTAAGTAATTACTAGTATGTTTTCTTTCCTGTTTCTATTACTTGCACTATTAAGCCTGTTGTTAACTTAGGAAAGCATGTCTAAGTGACTTAATTGCTGTATTTGCTCAACCTGCCTTACCTGAATTCTGTGCAACATGCTAGGCTAGAATCACTTGTTTCTTTAACATGAAATTTTGCCATTTATGTATATTTTCCTGTTGCTGCTGTGTATTTATTTTGGGACTACGAATGTGGGATTCCGGTAGATCCCCCTGTACAGTTATATGGAACTATGGGAATGCACCAGGTAGATTCCCCCAGTACTGGGTATTTACATTTGGGACTACGAAACGGGATTCCCGTAGATCCCCGCGCACTATGAGTTGGACTACGGGACGAGATCCCAGGAGATCCATTGGATATGTACACATGGTACTACAGGACGGTATCCTAGGAGATCCCTAATCGTTATTATTGGTGTTGAGCTGTATTTCCTTTCCGTGTCACCTTGTTTCTGTATAGTTGTTTCTATCCTGTACTTCCTGTGTTATATTACTGCTGTACTTATTTATACTGTTCTGCTCTATACTGTTGATCTTTATATTTTATTTAACCTCAGTAGGGCCCTAACCTTCCTCGTCAATACCCAACCGAGGATAGTCTTGGCACTTACTGAGTACCGCTGTGGTGTACTCATGCCCTTTCTGTGCATGTTTTTCATCTACTTAGGCCTACCATCCTTGAGGGAGGCGACTGCTCTAGAGACTTCGAGGTACATCTGCCGCGTCCGCAGAACGAGGAGTCCCTTTATATTCTAGCTGTTAAACATTGCCCTTCTGTATTTTCTTTTTTGTTATATATTCTGGAGTTAGACTGTTAGATATTCCAAAGGCTTGTGTTTCCGTGAGTTTCCGGGTTTTGGGATAATGTACTTGGTTTTGAGAATGTTGTGTTGTACATGCCGAGCGGCATTATAACTATTGTTTCTATTCAGTTATTTTGGTTTTTGATTATTTCTTCTGCGAGTTTCGTTTATGTTCCGCATTTGTTAGGCTTACCTAGTCGTAGAGACTAGGTGCCGTCACGACAGTTCACAGAGGGCGAACTGGGGTCGTGACAAGTTTGTATCAGAGATCTAGGTTCATATTTCATGGATCACAAGCCGGTTTATTAGAGTCTCGCTGATCGGTACGGAGACGTCTGTACTTATCTACGAGAGTCTATGTAACTGTTAGGAAAATTCCACTTCATTTGATTTCCTTGTCGTGCGATATTTTGACATTGCAATTCTAAACTTCAGTCTTCTATTCTCTCATAGATGGTGAGGACACATGCTACCCGAGATGATCAGGCACCAGCTCCCCCTACTGCAGCCGTTAGAGGCTGGGGCCGGGGTAGAGGCCGAGGATGCGCACGTGGTGAGTCCAGGCACCTGACACGCCTACTGCTACTACTACTCCAACTCTTCAGGAGACTTTGGCACAATTCATGAGCATGTACACCACTCTGGCTCAGGCAGGGTTCCTTCCCCTTGCTGCAGCTACATCTCAGGCCGGGGGAAGAGCACACACTCCCGCCGCCCGCACTCCTGAGCAGTGAGTACATGTTGAGCAGGTCCCTGAGATTATTCCTATACCATCTGCAATGCCAGTTCAGCCCTAGGATAGGGCAGCGACTTCCGAGAAGGAGCAACTGAGGCTTGAGAGGTTCAAGAGGTACAAGCCTCTTGTATTCAACGGTCTAGCATCGGAAGATGCTCTTGGATTTCTGGATGAGAGTTATCGCATTCTCCGTACCATGGGTATATCAGGTTCAAGCGGGGCTTCCTTCACAACTTTCTAGCTTTGAGGAGCCGCCTATGAGTGGTGGCGCACCTATGAGTTAGACATTTCAGATGAGGCTGCTTCACTGACTTGGACTCAGTTTTCATATCTGTTCCTGAGAGAGTATGTTCCTTAAAGCCTCAAGGACGCATGGCGCATAGAGTTTGAGCATTTGCGCCAGGGTGCTATGACTATCTCAGAGTATGCTGTCCGTTACACCAGTTTGGCTAGGCATGCACCAGCCTTAATTTCTACTGTTCGTGAGAGGGTTCGCTGGTTTATTGAAGGCCTTATTCCCAGCATCAGGTCTAGCATGGCTCGTGAGTTGGAGATGGATATTTCTTATAAGCAGGTGGTGAGCATTACTAGGAGGATTGAGGGTATGCATGCTAGGGAGAGAGAGGAGAGGGAGGCCAAGAGGTCTCGAAAGTAGGGCCATTTCTCTGGTGTCCGTGCCCCACCAACAGGTCGTCATGGTAGGGGT